AGCTTAGTTTTATCAGCAATATGGTCTTTCAACCTGTGGAAAAAGCTAAATTGAGGCTTTATGTCCTAAGCAAGGACATGTTATACTCCACAAGACTGATCAACACACACTTTGTCACCTTTTGGCAGCCGCATGGCGATCTTTCATCTCAGATCTCTCAAACCACACATGGGGACAGGACCTCACCATTGACCTCTGGATGACCCCCATGAGGCCTCCATGAACTTGACCTACCTGAGGAGAATGAAATTGAGTTAAAGACACCTGAGACCTTCTACAGACACACAATGTCACACAGCTGATATAGTCAGCGAGACTCACCATAGCATAACATCCATCATTCGCCAGAATGACAATGTCAATCGGGGAGGTGTGGTTGGCAACACAGATACCTCCTTTTTTTGGCCGATTCTCTCTGTTATGCATCCCATGAGACAAATATAAGAAACAGCGGTCATTTGACTATATTAGCGAGTGTTCAAAAGAAAGAGGTGTGTGCATGGGCCGAGAATGACAATGAGACATAATAATGGCCCCGTCCCCATCTCAGTTTTAGCAAATACATTGCAAGCCATCATAATTTCTAGCACATCTTACTTCTTCATCTTGTCACTGAATTGCTTGTATCTACTTCAGTCATTCTTTAGCTTGTTTTATTCATTTGGTTGGCAAAATACAGTTTGGAATTCGTGGTTTACAAAGACCCACATAACTTTTAGGCATGTTTTACCTTCAAGCACCCAAAACAATTGGTAAAGTGCTGCAAAGGATATGCAAAATGCCAAAACAGATATATAATATATATATACATATATATACAAAAAAAATTTATATATATATATAATTTTTTTTCCCCCCCACAATTAATGACATTTGATGTATGCCTGGAAAGACTGGGATAAAAAAAGAAGCACTGACTCACTTATTATGATAGCGGATGGTAGCAGACAGGGCTCTGGCACATATTCTGTAGCATGTAATATGAACCAAATCACTGAGCCAGTTCTTCGCACTGAAAAAGACACAGACCCTTCCCGTTAGGAAATGCTTCTTCAAACTTTAATATGAAATTAAAAATCAGCATTCCATCCATATATAACAAACTTAGTTGATTTGGTTTGACATATTTGTGACCCTGGACCACAAAACCAGTCATAAGTCACACGGGTATATTTGTAGCAATGGCCAAAAATACATTGTTTGGGGGTTAGGTATTAGGGTTATTAGGTTAGGTATGATATTATGCAGCGCCTGAAAATAGTCCCCAGCTAGGTAACTTCCAACATGACCGGCACTAAGTTTGTGTAGTTGGTCATGTTGATGGAAGTTAGCCTATTTTCAGGCACTGCGTAATATCATTGCGCCTGCTGCACCCATGGTA